ATGATCGCTATCTCACATGTCTGGGCCATAAGCATGCTGAGACAACTTTCGTTGATGGGTCTTGACTGCACTGCGAGTGCATGTCCATGGCTACGCTGAGGCTCTCATTTATAATGAGGCTTCCCTTGGATACTACCCAGTCTGGTTCTTCTGCTTATAAAGACCATATGGCCACATTAGGCCAGCCCCCATGGACGTTCTGCTCCTCACAGCGTAGCACCATTGAGCTCCCAGATGAAGGTGCTGGTCCATCTCGTGGTGGACCTAGGATCTCATTTGGGGCTCCTGAAGAAGATAAGATGTTGATCGCAGTATCAGAGGAGGGGCTTTTGTCTTCTGATGCTGAAGACTCTGCTGAGCAGCCCCTGGAAACAGCGGCGGCTCAGTTGGAATCAGAAGCTGAGTTGATGGCCTGCTCCTCCGGGCCACCAAGAGCATCGGGCTGGAGGTGAATTCGCCTCCATCCTCTGAGTGCTCGAAGATGGACGATTATTATCTGGGCTTCGCTTGCACCGCCATTCCTCTGGCTAAGATACGTGCGCCTTATCTTCTTCCAGTAAATTCCCCGTCTGGTGAACCCTGGTCGAGTTCCTTCCAGCACCTTGTGGCATTCAGACTGTTTCCGGGTCCAGTACTTGTGTTGTATGCCGTTAGTCACCCCTTGTACTGGACTAGGTGCCCATACATGAGATTCAACTTGTAGGTAATCCTGTATGTTCTTTCCACGGTACGGTTTCCCTTGGTAAACCCGTGTCTTTCCCTGGACAGTTCCACTGTCAGTCCCTGTTATGTTCCTCTGAACTGGGGTCAGGTCAGTTAACTTAGACTGTGCTGCGATGAGTCTTGTGTTTTTCACATTCACATATTGTGAGAATGTCAGAACACCTTTTTTCGGCTTCCTTAGTAAGCCCTTTATAGTCAATTTGTTATCTAACTTACGGGGCATTGGGCAAGTTACGGATTGAAGTGCATCTGCACCATCAATTTGAGTAACACAGTTCTGGTGTTGGCTGTTTCCACAGGGACCCCTAACGTCAGTGTCGACATAACGTCAACAGTGACTTACTAAAAGGGAACATCTCGGTTACGTTATGTAACCCTCATTCCTTGAAGGAGAGAATGGAGACGTTACGTCCCTCATGCCACAACCCATGCCACAATTGCACTGAATGCCGGGTTGCTTCTCGGCTCCTCAGCACAAATCTGAATGAGTGGATGCACGCTGCCATCTTATATACACATATGTACGGGAAGTGGCTTGGCATGCAAATTCCACTCGCCAATAGTCATTGGACAGTTCTCGTAATGCTCAGAGGTGATTGTGGCTCCCAAGTGAGACCCCTTACCTCAGTGTCGATACATCTCCATTACCTCCTTCAGGGAACGAGGGTTACATGATGTAACCGAGACGTTTATGTGCATCAAAACAAAGAAAAAATACTTGTGTTCAGCATGTATGAAGTTTCTGTGGAACTCTATTTGAACAACCTGTCACTGATATATATATATATATACATATATGATTGTTAAATATTCTGTTTTAGGGGGACCTGGTCTTGCAGTGCAGCTATCTATTTGAGGCATTGACAAAAATCTGTGTGGTGACAAAAAACCACAGCCTCATCAAAGTTGTTCAAGGGAGGTGAGACATACTTCAATCTGAACTGCCTTGAATACTCAGTCCTGCTCACAAAGATAGATTGTTTATTTTATTTAACAAGAATGCATTATACATACACTGAATTGTTGTGATGTTGTAGTGTGAGGTTTGACATCCAGCCTGGCAAAGAGGGCTTTGTTGATTTTAAGAGCAGCAGTGAAGCCATGGTCTACAGAACCAAGAATGGACACTTGATGGTGGTGGGTCCACATAATGCAATGCATACAACTAAATGAATATACTGGAAAAATAAACTATATTTAAAGTGTAACCTCTGTATATGACCATTAGTAATATGCAGGGGTTAAATTGGGCCGGGGCTGAGCAAATATGGCAAATATTCTGTTTGACAAAATGTATCTGCACATGTTTTTAAGTCTTTAGTGTTTTTAAGTTGAAACAGTCACGGTTTTTAAACCATTCAAGCGCAATAAGCAGCAAAAGTACTCGCACACTTTTTGAGAGACGGTATACTGGTATATTCGGACGGTATATTCTCAGACAAAGCAAGTACAGAATTGACTCAGAATTTAGTTCTTTTTTGCGGCTTATTGTGTAAATGTTCTGATGCATACAAAATTGTCAAAATGCCTGTCTTGGTGAGTGTTCACGTAAACACGGTCAGTTAAATCTTCAGTGAACGTAAACAACTGAGAAAGAAAACGCATGTGTAATGTATATTAGATCCGAGCAGTCGGTCTTAAAGAGACAGCGGTCTATTAAACTGATTGCTGTCTGTGTCATTAATGTTAATCAAACAACAAAAGACAGAAAATCACTCACTGCTCTTGACTGACTTTTGTAACTTTAACTGTAAGGTTTCATCTGTATTTCTTTATACAGTGAAGACTATCCAGTGTTATTTTACATTTGATTACTTAATTCAAATTCTGTGGTTTTTCTGTACCTGAATATTACTGTTAGACATACCTGAAAACTTAAAGCATTGATTTTATTGTCATCAGATATATCTCTGCACACTGCCAGTATCTAGAATGATTTTGACCAGCATTTTAGTGTTCATAGCAGAAGGCTCTCTTAACTTCTTATATTTTACAGTTTGTCCCTTGTTAGGATTTTGTAGGCTTTGCATACACATATGCACCTCTTGAAAGCCTTTAACCATGGAGCCCCCAACATAACAAATCCCAATATAACCCCTGCAATATGTAATTAGTTATATACCACTGTTATATGTATTACTATCAAAATTATATTGATATTGAACTTTCAACTATTTACATTAATAATTTTGAAGCCATTTATATTTTTCTTTTGCAGGAATCTGCACGGACAAAATCTCGATGATGAAGTTTTACCTCACAAACCTTCTCTACAATGGCCCAATTAATGCATTTCAAGTTTTATTAAACACCATAACTTGCCCTAAAAGAACAGAGCAGTGTTTTCCAATGGCCTCCCTAATCAAACTATCCTAATTCAACTCATCAGCTCATTGGTAGAGACTCTAAGAGTCTCTAAGTGTTCAAGATTAGGGTGGCAAAATGTGTACTTTTGGGGAACTCCGTAACCAGGGTTGGGAAATACTGCTATAGGATATGAAGTGTGAATTCAAGGGACAAATCATGAAATATCACTGCAATTTAATTACAAAGAGGAAAGGAAAACAAGTCCAACTGGAGTATTAAAATAGTATAATATTATATAATATTAGTAGTATAATATTTTATAACATTGTATAATATTAAATTAAAATTCTGTATTTTAGTTGTATACTGTACATTGTCTTTGAGGTGTATTTTATAAGCCATGTTTTGTTATAAATATCCAGCATGTCATGAAAATTATTTGTCTTTAATCTTGCTAATTGTGCAAATTTCTGATTGAGAGAATGTAGAAAATAGCTTCAAAACACATGTGTTTTGCTTCAAAACACATTTTTAAAATACAAAAGTACTTCGTTAATCCTCCTAAATCTTAAACGGTAACTGTTCAGCAAAAACTTGCATGTTCATCAGTTACTGTAAATTTACTGTACTGTAAATTTTGTTGGTGCATTTTGTTCGGTCTCACATACTGCCAAATCCTGAAAACATACTGCATCTTTTGCTTAGCGCAGACAAACATACTGAAGATGGCTCTATATATGCCCAGAACACATGAGCAAAACAGTGTATGCATGTAGATATACACAACATGTGTATATACATTCAAATATAAAAACCATTTGATATAAGACACTGTATAAATCTGTATATAGCTCTAATAATCATCATAATCCCTTTGACGTTCCATTGTTGCCCTATATAATATACATCTAGTCTAGTCCATTCAAATGTGTGTAGCTATTGTGGTGTTAAAATACAGCAAATATTAGCATCTGTATAAAGTTTAACTTAATGTAACCAAGATAATGATCATGTAGTCTACTTTTTTTTTTTAAATTTTGTGATGTATCTGTATTTTTCTCCTGCAAATTCAGTTCAGCCATTGCATCACGACTGCAGTGGTAGGCTAATCAGAAGGAAATAAAGTGATTCATGATTGAGTAGTATTTTGTGGACATATAGCATGATTTCCTGATCATTCTTATAAAAGCTTAAAAAATAAAATAAACGGATGATTCGTACATATTTTCAATTTTCTTGAACTTAGTTTGTATTTAATTAAACTGTAACTTTGTTGCCACCTCGTGGTGAATGAATGGACGATGCTTTTAATAAGGGAGTTGGATTTTGATGCGCGACCGATTTAATCATTAAACTATTACAACTTTTTTTGGACAAACGTCAGCCTATATTTAATGCACAATGTTTTTTTCAGGTTTATTTCGAAAGCGTGATGATGACCACCGATACTAGTACTGACTCTGCAAGTCAGTAGCCCCTCACTGCAGAACACAGGATCCAGGGGGCGTGGTTGGATCAACATCTAGGGCAGGGGTACCCAAACTCGGTCCTGGAGGGCCGGTGTCCTGCAGAGTTTAACTCCAACTTGCCTCAACACACCTGCCTTGAAGTTTCTAGTATGCCTAGTAAGAGCTTGATTAGCTAGTTCAGGTGTGTTTAATTGGGGTTGGAGCTAAACTCTTCAGGACACCGGCCCTCCAGGACCGAGTTTGGGCACCCCTGATTTAGGGGGTGGAGAGGGGTAGGTTTTGGGGTCAGGGGGTGGAGATTGGTAGGTGTAGGGGTGGAGATGGGTGGGTTTAGGGATCAGGGGGTGGAGATGGGTGGGTTTAGGTATATGCAAGGTGGGAGGAGTTGGATCAAATTCCAACCACGCCCCCTGAATCTAGTGTTCTGCAGTGAAAGTGGCGCTCGGGATCGTATCAAAGTACTGATTGGCTGATCCCCGTGTCAATCATTACTTCCCGGCCTGACGTAAAAAGACTTCCTCTTTGCTTCTTCCATCGATTGTTGTTCTTAAAATGGCGCCGTTGGACCTAGATAAGTATGTGGAAATTGCGAGACAGTGCAAATACCTTCCAGAGAACGACTTAAAGGTGACTGTTATCAGTAATTATATTTTTCTCTCAGAATATTAAACATAGTAGCTGTTGATATATTTTTAAAGTCATGCGGTAATGGCTGGTAAAGTAACGTTGCAGTCAGTGTGTTGCAATGCAGTCGTTAGCGCTGCGTATGAATCCGTTCAGTGTGTTTCGGGATTTATTTTATACGTGCTAGCAGAAATAACAGGATATACGACCAAAGAAAGCAGTCAGTCCTAATAAAGGTGTGTACCAGTTTATTTCTTGTGGATCCCCGGGGTGGCTAACTTATGTTGTTGCTATCAAGCGCACACATTTGAAACGCCCATCTACTTTCCATCGTCAACCCTTTAGTTAGTCTCATTTTATGATATTTGCTTATTAGCAGTTTTTAGTCTTGACTGTAACATCCTCCATTCTCTTGTCTTTAAATAGAGCTCCTGTACGTAAACAGCTAGGCTTCTGAATTAGTCCATAATGCAGTTCAAGACTGTATCATCCAAGCCACTAATGTGTGATAATATAAAATGTGAATTAAATGAATTCTTTAGGAATTCATATGACTTTAGATGCAGTGATCTGCTGCTGCTGTCATGATCAGTGATGCCATTTCCTTTACAAGCTTGATCAAACCTGCTGTCTTCTCTTCTATTGCTTTGACAGAGATTGTGTGACTATGTATGTGACCTGCTGCTTGAAGAATCAAATGTACAGCCAGTATCCTCTCCAGTCACTGTATGTGGGGATATTCACGGACAGGTGCGAGCAGGCCCTATGAATGTGTTTCTGTTATGCACAGATGATGTGACAATGTCCTTGTTTTGTTAACAAAATGCATATTGACCTAAACCTTTTCTTTATCTCTAGTTTTATGACCTATGTGAACTCTTCAGAACTGGGGGCCAAGTACCAGACACAAATTACATTTTCATGGTATTGTATCCATAACGATAATTATACATAATAAATATTGTTTTGTAGTTCATATTTGGTGACTCATGGGAAACAATGTTTCCCCCCAAGTTTATACTGAAGAGACATTGGTATGTTTTCTTTTCTTCTAGGGTGACTTTGTAGACCGAGGATACTACAGCTTAGAAACGTTCACATATTTGCTAGCACTTAAAGCAAAGTGGCCTGACCGCATCACACTGTTGCGTGGCAATCACGAGAGCAGGCAGATCACACAAGTCTATGGCTTTTATGGTGAGACTGCAGAAATCATAATATACTTATCGTACTTCATATAATAACATGCTTATTGTATTTTGTTGTGCATTTTTGATTTTCATTTCCATTCTTTCCTTCCATTTATAGATGAGTGCCAAACGAAATATGGAAATGCTAATGCCTGGCGATACTGTACTAAAGTGTTTGACATGCTGACTGTTGCTGCTGTAAGTATTGTCTTTAGAATACAATTTATATGTATTTTTAATATTACAATAATAATAAATGGTGGTAATGTTTTATTATTGTTATAATTTATGTATACAAATAGTACTATACATATAATTATCCATTATGTCTATAATATAATAGTGTACATATAGTACACAATCTAAATTCATTACTTCAGATATGTTTATTGTATATTTAATGCTTAAACTCAACACTGTCACTTTGATTGAAAATGACATTTTGCACTTTATAACTGTCCAAGAGAATGTTTATGGTTATTTTTTTTTCTTCTGCTGTACTTATTGTGATGTTTTGATTTCTCCTGTAGTTGATAGATGAGCAAATCCTTTGTGTACATGGTGGCCTTTCACCTGACATCAAAACACTGGACCAGATACGCACCATTGAACGCAACCAGGAAATCCCTCACAAGGGAGCATTTTGTGATCTTGTCTGGTCCGATCCAGAGGATGTGGACACCTGGGCTATCAGCCCAAGGGGTGCTGGGTGGCTGTTTGGTGCTAAGGTTACCAATGAGGTAAGAGCATTCTCTCCATGTACAGTCAGTTTAGTCTGATGGAAAGTGTGTAAACAACACTTGAGATGTTTCTATAATTACAAGTGGGAAAACTGCATATTGTCACTTACTGTCTGCGTTGAAATTTAGGTGTAGTTGTTGGCATCCTCATATACTTTACTAGTGCAGTGAAGTTTCAGAAAATATCTCCCAGTAAATTGAGAACTAGAAATATAATAATTTCAAATCAGGTAAAAACTACGACTAAAGTAACTGTATTTAGTTTTGTGGCCTCTGTATTTTCTTGATTAATTGAATTTTAATGAAACACGCTGTGAGCTGAATATTAGTTTGACAATGAAATAAGCAATTAATGAAAATTATTTAATTCAATTTATTGGCTGTTTGGGGTGCTAAGGTTACCAATGAGGTAAGAGCATTCTCTCCATGTACAGTCAGTTTAGTCTGATGGAAAGTGTGTAAACAACACTTGAGATGTTTCTATAATTACAAGTGGGAAAACTGCATATTGTCACTTACTGTCTGCGTTGAAATTTAGGTGTAGTTGTTGGCATCCTCATATACTTTACTAGTGCAGTGAAGTTTCAGAAAATATCTCCCAGTAAATTGAGAACTAGAAATATAATAATTTCAAATCAGGTAAAAACTACGACTAAAGTAACTGTATTTAGTTTTGTGGCCTCTGTATTTTCTTGGATTAATTGAATTTTAATGAAACACGCTGTGAGCTGAATATTAGTTTGACAATGAAATAAGCAATTAATAAATTATTTAATTCAATTTATTGGCTGTTTGATAAAAGTGTGACGTACTAGTAAAAGTAAAAACTTTCAGTAAATGTAACTTGATTTTTTTTTTCTTCTCTTTGTTTCTATTAAAGTTTGTTCACATCAACAACTTGAAGTTGATTTGCCGTGCACATCAGTTGGTTCATGAGGGCTACAAATTCATGTTTGACGAGAAGCTGGTGACCGTCTGGTCGGCCCCAAACTACTGCTACCGCTGCGGTAACATTGCCTCCATCATGGTCTTCAAAGATGTGAACACACGGGAGCCCAAGTTATTCCGGGCCGTTCCTGACTCTGAAAGGGTCATACCACCTAGAACGACAACACCCTATTTCCTCTGAGGTCTTCATTGTCACCTGCGTCCAGCCCTCTTCTTTTCGTTGTTCTGTCAAGAGCACTTTTATGGTCTTTAATTTCTCTGCTGCCTTGGTTTTAAAAATTTTTTTTTTTTACTTAACAAATATTTTTTGTAAAGATCGAAGTGCTCTCCAGAATAACAACCGTAAACTACGTTCAGGATTATGGACTCTTTTGATTGTTCAAGTTGGTCATTATTTGGTCAGTACAATCTTGTTAATGTGAGCATGTAACCGTAAATAAGTGGACATCCTCATGCTGTTCTAAAGCCACTCTTCTTACAGGGCTTTAAATTTAGATCTAACAGCCATTGACTATCTTATGACAAAAATGTATGGTGTAACATCTCACCTGATCAGAACAATGTGGTGTTTGTGTTTTTCAGAGATCAGATCAGAAAGAGAGTCACTGACACAACTAGGTCCTGGTCAGTCTGCTCCTAATTTCTCCAAAACAAAGACACTGTTCTTTTTTGAAGCTTTCAAGTGTAGAAAAGGGTTGAGGCAATGACCCGACAACAGGACAAAGAAGGCTGTGATTATTTTGTACATTAATATAATTGTATTGATTTAATCTTCTTTTTCTCAGATTTGTTGTATTTTATTATTGTAGAAGACGGCAGCCCATTTACCAATTAAATATTGAAAATAAACGCCTTTATTGTTAAGTTACATTTCTGGTGTTGTCTCCTAATCAATGGAAGCATGAAAATATCACTTATTCTTTCCACACAAGACAGTTTTAAAGGCGCTACAATAAGACACCGCAGAGCGGCGCACGTCCCTTTTAAATCCAACGGGCAGATGGCAGTACTACACTAGTCCCGCCCCTTTGAGTAAGTTGTAGCCTGACTGACATCGCAGCCAACCAATGGAATGTACCGAACGTCACTAACAGCCCGGTGGAGATCTGATAAGCATGTTAGTTTGAGCGGGTTGCCACAACAGTCAATGAAAATTCAACTGGCCAAACTGAACCGTCGACCGCAGTAGATGCCGAATGGCAGATACTCCCTGCTCTTCCCTGGGAGGGTGATTTGAATGAGCTGGATGCAAATGACGGTGCGCCACCGCACTGGATGTCTAGATTTGTGTCAGGGCGAGAATCACAGGCACGTACTACCTGGAAACGCTGTTCTTGAGGAGCTGAAACAGAAGATAGCCGCACTAAACTACACCAGTGCTCAGGTTGGGTCTCAAATCAGTGACTTTTTGACAGATATCACTCGGCGATGTATGCGTTAGGTACAAGACAAACACGACTGAAGTTAACACGTCTTAGTGGACTAAGATAGTCAGACACACCATCATTAAAATATATTTATTCTGTAGCTTTCAGTCAAAGCGAAATATTTCTTATAGAAAGCATAACGCATATCATCCCCATATATATATATATGTGTGTGTGTGTGTGTGTAAAATAAGCCTAACAGAGCACATCAAATGCATTCAGTCACAACATCTGCTAAAGCCACAGTTTTGTCAACTCTGATGGTCATTTCGAGGACAAGAACGCTCCTGCTCTCTGAACGCACTAAAACCATGTTAACGCAGCTCTGTCGCCTCTATTGCCTTGACACGATCCAACCTACATTTTCATCTTTGACAGAATCACACTGAGTTGTCGTGTATTACCGCATCCTGATCTGAGAAAGAGAGAGACAGCCGTCGCGCTAGAGGTAAGTCGGCTCTTCCCTGGGAGGGTGATTTGAATGAGCTGGATGCAAATGACGGTGCGCCACCGCACTGGATGTCTAGATTTGTGTCAGGGCGAGAATCACAGGCACGCACTACCTGGAAACGCTGTTCTTGAGGAGCTGAAACAGAAGATAGCCGCACTAAACTACACCAGTGCTCAGGTTGGGTCTCAAATCAGTGACTTTTTGACGGATATCACTCGGCGATGTATGCGTTAGGTACAAGACAAACACGACTGAAGTTAACACGTCTTAGTGGACTAAGATAGTCAGACACACCATCATTAAAATATATTTATTCTGTAGCTTTCAGTCAAAGCGAAATATTTCTTATAGAAAGCATAACGCATATCATCCCCATATATATATATGTATGTGTGTGTGTGTGTGTGTGTGTGTAAAATAAGCCTAACAGAGCACATCAAATGCATTCAGTCACAGCATCTGCTAAAGCCACAGTTTTGTCAACTCTGATGGTCATTTCGAGGACAAGAACGCTCCTGCTCTCTGAACGCACTAAAACCATGTTAACGCAGCTCTGTCGCCTCTATTGCCTTGACACGATCCAACCTACATTTTCATCTTTGACAGAATCACACAGAGTTGTCGTGTATTACCGCATCCTGATCTGAGAAAGAGAGAGACAGCCGTCGCGCTAGAGGTAAGTCATTGTAGTTGAGACGCAGGCTTGATGCACCGGAGTAAATGCATTTAGATGTGCTGGATGGTGTGAAGTGTCACAGAAATGACCGGTGTTGTTCTTCACACTGGTAACTGATGCAGAACAACAGCGATCAGTCAAATCAGTCCGCGTTCCTGGTCAATGAACGGAACGAGCGCTATTACGCAGAGATGCACGCTGCCAAACGCTTTACGTTTAGTTATGATTTTCACCCTTTGTTCCTCTTAGTCCACCCTGATATTCGAGTCGGGAGTGATATTGTGAATGGAACCCGAGCCAATAAGCATCTCTGTATTATTATTGAATGAAGACGGTTGAAAAATCATTGGCTGTCGCAAGAATGACTATATATATAAATGCAGCCGGGGTTCATTCTGTCCTGCAATAGCACAGGATTGAATTCTGCAGGGCGCTCGCTGTCTGCTGTTTTATTGTTCACGATCGGGCTGCATCGGCCGTGCGTGCATAATGACTGTAAGGGCAAGTGCGAATTGTATATTATTGCATAGGAAGCGTATTATGGCTGTGTTATGAATACGCATTGAACTTCAAATGAGGTCCTATGATAATTATGCGAGATTAAATGACATCGTATGACTGGGACCGAGAACAAAAAGAGAGATTTGTTGCAGACAATCATGTTTTCTCACACACACCATCTGTGAAAAGAGCCACCGGGTTGCTTAGCTAAAAATGACGTCATACAGACTGGCTTGTTATGGAAGAGAATTCTTCTTCTGTTACTATAGGTACTATTATATGGGTATTTTCTTGTTTAGTTGTTGACAATTATGGGTGTAGTTTCTCTTAAATTTTATTTGAACTCCATTGTAAACTGATTTTAGTTGTCTGCACCCTATTTAACAGTCCATATCAACACGGTAGTGAATCAAGTACCTCGGGTCGGTAGGGCTACAACACTGTGAGTCCGATATTTCTTGAAGTCCACATTAAATCAAAATTGACCCTATTTACTTTGTTAGGCATTGGGCACAACATCCTTAACCACTCCCCTCCAACCATCAGTCTGCTACGATCTAGAGACGCCAAGGAGGTGTGATAAAATCAAGTCCCTCCCTCTATTTTTCTCATTCAATATTCTGTTTCACTTGGAAATTCATCACAATACTGAAGTCGGTCACAACTTGTGGTTCATATGGACTTGAGATCGTTATGTTTCAGGCAAAGAAATGCCAGTTAGTTTGTGTTTTTTCCGCCAGTGAAAATGGTTACAAAATGTTCAGCGTTTTGTGTCAACTTACACACATGGTCTGGAATGGCATATGTGAGTGGAGCGGAGAGATGGTGATTTACCCTCCCATGCTCAAAACGTTCTGTGCACACTAACGGTGCGTTTCACTTTGTTTTTAGACAAACACTCGTGAACTCTCCTAAGCACTTTCCGTTTGGGAATCCCATCGCCATTTTGAAGCACGTTCCACTTCGTCAAGTGGATGATGGAAGTTTGTATAAACTCATATGTAAACTTTAGGTAGCTCCATAAATCACAGAGCAACACAACTGGGATGTTACAGCAGATCGTGCTTAATTTACCCCTACCTCGCACAACTCTATATATGATTTAAGAATTATTTTGGGATTTAACCATATAACTACATTAAGCTGACTGTTTGTTACACACAATCATAGTTTATTATATTGATATTTAATTATAATTTTAGATTTTTTTTCTCCAACAGCTTTTTTCAACGGCATATTACCACATAGAATGGTGCATCAAACAAATACATAAGAATTTGTTTTTTAAATAATAATAATCAGCTCCATAGTGGACTCCAAGTGAACAAGGACTTAAGACATTCCATTTAAACCCAATGCAGGACTTCCATCAGTCGAATGCAACATAAGCGATGACGCACATCTGAGTCGATGAGACTGTGAAGTGGCACTCAGCCTAGTAGTGAGAGAAACCCAGCTCAGAGCAATCACAGAGTGAGAAGAAACACCGATTCTGTCAATCAAATTTGTGGACTGGAACCAACTGTTAAAAAGCACAGTGAAAGTTATTTTTTAGCTATAGGGGAAGATTGCAAGCTAGTTTCTAAGCATAGCAAAGGCTTTCGCTTCCTCTGTTTGTGTCCTGTGTTATATAGGACACCTGTCCTATTTTTCTCTGCGTTTACTTCTTCCCTCATTCCTGTGTGGATCTGAATATCGTTAGAGAGACTTGGGCTCTTTTGCTACCAAGTCCACCATGTTTTCATCCCTAACTCACTTTCACTCTCTTTTGAGTCCTGACGTTTCACAGTGACTGTATTCCATTAACATGAGCAGTCATGTAGGCCTTTGCGCTAAGGTTAGATGCATTAGTCAGCATATGTGTTTGCGTGACCTCTTTAACTGAGAGAGCGATTGCAGATTGCAGTTTTAATTTCATGTAATGACTGATCTTTTGCAGTATTACTTGTTTTTATTTGAACTTTGTGTATCCAAGTAGGCTGGTCTTTTAATAGTTTATAGTAGGTCTACTTTCAGCATAATATTTGGTGTATGCCTGGATGTCAGACAGTGAAATTAATTTTCAGTACCATGAATAGAATGTGTTTGGTGATGCAGTGACTGCAAAAAGTGATACAGTATATAATAAGATATAGATTTGGCATAGATTTTCAGTTGCATGTGTAGGTTACATACAGGACATACATACACATACTGCCTCATCCTGCAGTTCTTTTGCTGCAGATGCATAGCTCATGCATTTTTATGGAAGGAAAAGAAATGTGGGTCAAGCACACATATCTGTGCAGAAGCCTTTTACCACTGCTGGCTTTAGAGCAAGAGCATGCATGCGTTTCCTTCATGAGACAAGGAGATCTTTCTTATATATTTCTCATTTCCTCTCTTACCATCAATTCTCCAAAGCCCATCTTCCATTCATTCCTAGATTGCATCCATAGGGTCTTAGTGGACAAGTTGTTTGTTTCAGCATAAGATCTCACATCCTCTGGTCTGAGTCTTATGGCTGATTCTATTCCGTAGCTCTGTGTCTATATATGTACATTCTGATCATTTCAATTACCACTTGTTACAACCAGAAAATAGAGCTCTTTCAAGCTCCTTGTCAATATTGTTCTGACTATTGATCAACAACAGTTATTTTAAAGTAGCTTACTTACTTATAGTTGTCGTTTGCATGTTATATGAATGTAGTGTGGCTATTGAGCATCATCTGACCAAGATGAAGGTATACAAACCTGATTAATTTGGCTTTTAGAATACCTTGGTTAAATGGATATTTGGATTTGTGGTTGAAATTTTTTATAATGAACTCTGCTAATAAATAATCAATAGAACACTTAAATAACATTTCTAGAATACATTTTGCAGTTCTGTTATAATGTATTTTAAAATGTAATTTTTTCATGTGATGGCAAAGCTGAATTTTTAGCACCTATGATAAGAAATGCTTGTCGACAATTGACAGTTGTATTGTTTGGACTGTGGTGGAGTCGAGGAGGCTTATAATACCTGTACTGTAGAAAACTACGGAAAGCTCAGGAACACCCGAAACTGTGATTTGAAAGGTTTTGTATTAGATCTACAGAGCATCATCTGAGCTAATAAAGTATATTAGCAATACATGGCATATATGCCTACAAAATAAACATTATGTTGTCAGAATACACTCCTGATTTTAAATGCCCACGGTGCTTTTTAGAAACAGATGGTCTCGTTACCAGCAGGAGCTAACAGGGCTTTGGTAACAAGCTAAACCTTGACCTCTTGGGTAGATTCAGCCCCCCCCCCCATTGGTACACCAAACTAAACTCAGCATCTGTAGGCTACACATTCATGTAACATCGGTGTGCATAATGTGTCCTTTTATTAAGCATCTCACATTCCTGTGATCTATCATGCACGTATGTGACACTAAATTAAAATTAAATGTATTTATAATAGTTATTTTATTTTATGTGTCAGCTGATAAGAAATGCTTGTCGACAATTGACAGTTGTATTGTTTGGACTGTGGTGGAGTCGAGGAGGCTTATAATACCTGTACTGTAGAAAACTACGGAAAGCTCAGGAACACCCGAAACTGTGATTTGAAAGGTTTTGTATTAGATCTACAGAGCATCATCTGAGCTAATAAAGTATATTAACAATACATGGCATATATGCCTACAAAATAAACATTATGTTGTCAGAATACACTCCTGATTTTAAATGCCCACGGTGCTTTTTAGAAACAGATGGTCTCGTTACCAGCAGGAGCTAACAGGGCTTTGGTAACAAGCTCAACCTTGACCTCTTGGGTAGATTCAGCCCCCCCCCCAGTGGTACACCAAACTAAACTCAGCATCTCAACATGGGTGCCTTACAAATTTGCATTGCAATGTTGTTGTTTTTTTGTGATCGAGTATGTACTAGTGTTATATTTTGTCCAACCTAAAATAGTCAAGTCAAGTCAAGTCACCTTTATTTATATAGCGCTTTTAACAATACAGATTGTGACAAAGCAACTGAACAGCATTAATTAGGAAAATAGTGTCAATAATGCAAAATGACAATAGTAAACACTCATTTTTCAGTTAAAGACAGTTCATCATTGAATTCAGTGATGTCAACATCCAGCTCAGTTTAAATAATATCTTTGCAATCATGTCAACGATATCGCTGGAAATGAAGTGTCCCCAACTAAGCAAGCCAGAGGCGACAGCGGCAAGGAACCAAAACTCCATCGGTGACAGAATGGAGAAAAAACCTTGGGAGAAACCAGGCTCAGTCGGGGGGCCAGTTCTCCTCTGACCAGACGAACCAGCAGAACGGAAAAATCAATATAAGACGTAATAAAACAGACGATGAACAATATTAACAGCAATTATTATATGATGCAATCAAACTTATAGCAAAATGTGGTAGTTCTGTATGTTGTTTCAGGGTTGGCATCATCTGAGGTCCTCTGAGGGGTTGGCATCATCTCTTCTCAGGTGTTCTGAGACATACATACACATACTG